GGGGAGCGCGGCAGGGCCCGGGTGCCCGCAGAGCTGGCATCTCCTGGGCAGCCGGGAGCTGGCCCGGGGGGCGTGGGGCCGGGGGGCTCCTGGGCACACTGCCAGCTCTGCTGGGCAGGGTGTGGTGCAGGCAGCTGAGGGCAGCTCTCTCTCTCTCTCTCTTTCAGGACGCACACAACTGCATCCCCGAGCTGGACAGCGAGACAGCCATGTTCTCCGTGTACGACGGGCACGGAGGTGAGGCCGCCCGGGGCCCTGCCAGCAACCCTGCTGCTTCTGGGGAGGCCTTTGCTGGGACGGGTGCTCTCCACTGAGGTTCTGAAGGGTTCTTGGGGTTTCTAGAAAGGAGGTCGTGGGCTGATAGGAAACTGAACTGAGATTTGCATTCCCTCTCCTGGAACTGCCAAGAAGGTTCATTTCCTTGGTGGGTAAGGCACACGGGGTGCTCACAGAATAGTTCGTACTGCCACTACCTAAGATTGGACTCTGGTCAGTATGTTCTGGTGGCTGCCAGTACTGGTTGCCCAAGAACAGCCAGATCCACTCCCTGATGTCCCTTCCCAGCTGCCATTCCCCACGTAAGGGCTCCCTGAGCTGGAGGCCACAGCCACATGATCACAGAGGCACTCAGGTCTTCTTGATGAACTCATCAGGCCACAGAAATGATGTGTGGAACCCCTCTGCTGGGAGGCCAGGCTGAGAGAGCTGAGCTTGCTCAGCCCGGGGAAGAGAAGGCTCCAGGAAGTCCTTCTGGTGGCCTCTGAGGACTTCCAGGGGCCTGTCAGAAATCTGGGGACAGATTTTTGAGCAGGGCCTGTTGTGACAGGACAAGGGGTGATGGTTTGAAACTGGAAGAGGGGAGACGTAGGCTAGAGAGGAGGAAGAAATTGTTTATCCTGGAGGTGGTGAGCTCCTGGCCCAGGCTGCCCAGAGAGGTGGTTGAAGCCCCTTTCCTGGCACCATCCCAGGGGAGGTTGGCTGGGGCTCTGAGCACCCTGCTCTAGCTGAGGTGTCCCTGTCCCTGCAGGGGACTAGATGACCCTTAGGGGACTAGAAGACATTTAAAGGTCCCTTCCCACCCAAACCAGTTTGTGATTCTATGAACAATTCACAAATGTGTCTAGTTGCATTTTAACCCAGGTTTCTGTTTGGTGATTATTTGTGTAAGAGGATTTTTGTAGAGGTTTTTTATAGGAAAGAAGAGTTGGATCCAAGTCAGCAGCTGGACAATTTCACTGCAGTGTCCCCAGCATTTATGAGAAATCAGGGAATAATCACTGTTAGAACTTCTCACTGTTGTTCTGTACTCCATGTCCTTTCTCCCAGTCAGAAGTGTCCCAGACTTCTGAAGCTGTGGCTGGGCCAGGCCTTGACAGCCCTGCTGGGGAAGAAGTTCTTCCTCAGCTCCAACCTCAACCTCCCCTGGGGCAACTTGAGGCCCTTTCCTCTTGCCCTGTCCCTTGTTCCTTGGGAGCAGAGCCCGACCTCCCCCTGGCTCCAGGCTCCTGTCAGGAGCTGTGCAGAGCCAGAAGGTCTCCCCTGAGCCTCCTTTGCTCCAGGCTCAGCACCCCCAGCTCCCTCAGCTCCTCCCCCCCACACTTGGGCTCCAGCCCCTTCCCCAGCAGCTCCGTTGCCCTTCTCTGGCCACGCTCCAGCCCCTCAAGGTCCTTCTTGTGCTTTTACATGATTTATACTTTTACAAGATCCTGCTTGGTAAACCCTGCTCAGTTTGGTAAATTATTTTAGTTTGGATCACCCTGAATGTTCCATCACTCATTGCTGACCTCTTTCCCAGATGGTGTCTGTAGATGTTGGGCAGCCTGAGTCTTCAGGGAGCTCTCCCAGTGGCCATCTTCCATTTTCTATCACACCTCACTTTTCCTAGTATGTAAAACGTTTATTTTAAAGCAGTTTGGAAACGTGTGAAGTATTGCCTCCTGCTCATTGAAAGAGCCACTGACCAGTTTGTGATGTGCTCTGCTGTGTTTAACCCCCACAACATCCTACTGTACAGATTGATGTGTCTTGTCAGTCAGTTCATTGCAGTATCTGCTGTTTGCTGTGTTCTCACACCAGAGGTGCTGCTCTGTGACGTTGTGAGCTCAAGTTTCCACCACTCTCTGAGGCCTTTTAATTTATTTTTGGTATGATATGTGCACCTTTCATTCCTCTGATAATGCAGGTTCAAGTGCAGAGTTTCACACCACAGTTCATCAGTTCTCCTGCTCCTTTGGAACTGAGTTATCTAATTCTGCCAGTTTGTAAGGAAATGTTTCAGACCTTTTTTGCAGTAGTCCCTGTTAAAAAGCTCAGCCTGAGCAGGCAGCTGACTAGTGGCTCTTCAAAAGACATAGTCTTGCTATGAAGCGTTTGGATTTAATGTTTTGAAATTATTTTCCTCCTGAAATTCATCTTAAGAGTGTGCAGACACCTCAGTGGAGCAACTGCTGATGTCCTGAACAATATCTTTGAGAACACTGGCACGAGGACTGGTTCTGAAGGGCAGGAAAGGACAAAGGTTTAGAGGGATTTAGCAACTGCTCAAGTTCATGTTATTTCTTGCAGAACTCAGGAGGGGTTTGTGAGCATCTAGGAGACAGGAAGATAAGTAGCACTGAGCAAAAACTGGTCAAGAAGGAGTAATATCAAACCAGCCTGTTCTTCAAGATCAGCATCTCAGTTCCTCAGCTAGCAGGAAGGTCCATGTCACCAGCTGCATTTTAGAGAGACTTTGGACACTCTTATTCCTATTAGTGTAGGACATGAAGTAATGTGCTGGGAGTGGGGTGTAAATAGGGAAGATTCAAGATAGACGTTAGGGAAGGAACAGCAAAGCACTGGCATGGGTTCCCAACTTGTATTTTAGGTTTTCCAAATTGTATTTTAGGTTTCCACTGATTGAATCCCTCCAGTTCTTCCTGGGCAGACCTTATGAGGAAGGGAATGGATGTAGTTGAACCTGACTCTGAAGAACAGCTTTTGCCCATCTCTACTTTGTTAGTTCCTCAGTTTGAAACAGTTCCTCAGGTCTGTCCCATGTAAAAGAAGTTTTTAGGAGGGAAACCTCTCCAAGCTTTATTAGCTGCCAGTGGAAAAAATTAATCTTGCTTTTCTTTCATACCTTGCTCATCTATTGGCCTTCAACTCTCCAGTGAGGTTCCTGCTCTAGACTGATTGGAGGAAAGGGTTTTATTATTGTGTTATTCTAAAAAGGGTGGGGGTTTTGTTCCTGTTTAGCTTTCTATTTCACTCATCAGGTTTTCTTTTATTTTTTCCCCTCGGGGTAAGACTTCCAGTTTTTGAAAGAAGCTGCTGATTTTTGCCTTCCCCAGTTTGCTTTTCCCTTGCCCTGGCCTCCCTGCCCCAGATCTCAGAGGACAGGGTGTGGGTGCTCCACAGCCCCAGGACAGCATTTCTGACCACTCTCTGCTGCTTCATCCTCTCAGATGGTTCTTTTTATTCACTTTTAATAAGTGTCTTTGCTGACACGTAGCTCCTCATTCTCAGAGGCCAACACTAGCAAGGTGAGGTTTTCTTTTTGCTCCTGCCAGGGTGTTTAATTTGAACACAGCAAGCCCTGTTGTAATTTCTTTCCATTTGTGTGCAGAGTGATGGACTGCTTGCCCTGCTCCTGGTTATCTTGCCCCCTGCTCTGCTTTAGCATTCTCTCTCATTGTCCCAGGGTCTGGGTTAATACTCTGGGTTTAAAATCTTTCTTGTCCTGTTTTGGCATAGTATTCTAATCCACAGGGGTGCTGTCAGATTTATTGTTAGCTAGTTTGTTTTTTGACTCTAAGCTTTCATAATATTATATTCAAACAATGTGTCTGTGTCTAAGTACAGATGAGATCTTGGAGTGGGATCTGCTTCCTGCCTCATGGAGATGAGATGTGATGGGTTTGTGCATGAAGTGCACTGGAAAACATCTGATCTAGGCACCTGTATCTCTTGAGGCTGGTTTTTCACCTGGGTTTCTGCCCTGAGGCTCCTGCCCATTCTTGTCTTCACTTGTATCCATGGCCGTGCTCCTGGGGATGAAATCATCCTGCACTGAATTCCAGCTGGATCCGGGGGACTCTGGAGCCAGCCTTGCCCAAAGTGTTGAGATAAATTGACTTGGTTCCATATTTCATCTGAATGCTGTTCCTGCTTTTACACCTGGACCAGGCATGGGTTTTGGAGGTGGCATGTGGCCCTGCAGCCTCTGAGGCTGGACCTTCCCAGGTACTGCTCACCTTCCAGACAGCCGGAGAGCTCCACCTGCTCTTCCCCAAACCAAAGTGGTCTCCTTCTACAATCCTGCAGGAATGTAAATGCACACACTCTGGAAAATCCTCTGGATGTTTTTTCACTGAATTCAGTGGAAATTAAATTATAAATTTTGCTTTAGCCTCCTGAAGACCTTCCTACTGCTGCATCTGCACCACAGCCAAGGCTTTGTCGTGACTTGGCTGGATGCTGCTCCCCGGAAAGTGGTAACAAAGTGAATTGTGGGGACTTTGAAGGTTTTACAGTGGGGTTCATGCTCAAGACATGGAAGATGTGATCCTGAATTCACTGTTGTGTTGTGGTTGTAGTTGAGTAATTGTATTCTCTAAGTGCTCAACTCCTGAAGGCTTTTGAAGTCCCCAGCAGCTGAAGGTCTCCACACCCATGGGTGCAAGCTTCTGCTTCTGTTCCTCTGCTTCTGCTCTGTCCTGCTTCTCAGAGAAGTGCAAGGAAGTGCCAGTTGCATTTGGTGGCACTGCTTTTCCCTGCTCTCCTAAAACAGTCAGCACCAGGACTCCTGTCACAGTTTAAAATGCACCTTGGAGTGCTTAGAGCCTTGGCTGAAGTTAAAAGGCCAGTGAAGCCTCAGCAGCAGTGTCTGCTGTGACTCTGTGCTGGGGCTGCATGGGAAGCAGGGAAGGTTTCCTCTCTTCTGTGGCACCTACAGATTCTCTTCCAGTAACCTGTCTTTGGGTAGCCACAGTCAGGCACGTTGGACCTTCCCAATCACTGTTTCATCTCCATGTCCCTGTTTCAAATAAGCAACTTCTTTAGCTGCCAGAGCTCTTTATTCTGGGGCCAGCTAATGCTTCTGTGGTGCAGAACAGGGTCTGTCTCTGCTGCCTTGCCTGTCGTGGTGCTGCTGGGCTGGAGGGGAGCATCTTGCCCCAGGCTGTGCTCCAGCCTGTGAGCCACCAGCCTAGAGGGGCAGAGCAGGGCTGAGGCTGCAGAGCTGCTGGTGGCTTTCCCAGGCCAAGCTAAGTGTATGGCAGGAAAATCCCTCATCCTCAGCCATGGTAGAAGGACTGCAGCATTGGATCATCTTTTCCATCTGGTGGGTGATCAGGTGTCCCTGCTGGTATTATTAGATTTGTCAGCTGCTTCCAGTAGCCCAGATGACACAGAGCTGCTGCCCCATCTGCAGACCCCACTGGACCTGGACAGGGGCACCCTTTGGTTGCTCTTGTCTCCCTTTCTGACCTCAGCAGGTAGCTGTGGCCAGTCCCCCTCTGCCAGGACAGTCAACTGGTTCAAGTGTTGCAGTCTTTGCCCATCCCATTCACAGAATCCCAAAGAATCCAAGCACAGTGTCTGTTGGAAGGGATCTCTGGGGATCAGCTTCTCCCACCCCTGCTCCAGCAGCTCACCCCCAGCAGGGTGCCCAGGGGCACAGCCAGGAGGGTTTGGGATCTCTCCAGAGCAGGAGACTCCACAGCCTCTCTGGGCAGCCTGGGCCAGGCTCTGCCACCCTCCCAGCAGAGAAGTTTCTCCTCCTGCTCAGGTGGCACCTCCTGGGTTCCAGTTGGTGCCCGTTGCCCCTTGTCCTGTCCCTGGCACCACTGAGCAGAGTCTGGCCCCAGCCTCTTGCCCCCCGGGGCCCTTTAGCTCTTGCTCAGCACTGCTCAGATCCCCTCTGAGGCTTCTCTTCTCCAGCTCAGCAGCCCCAGGGCTCTCAGCCTGGCCTGGCACAGAGATGCTCCAGCCCCTCAGCAGCTTCCCAGCCTCTGCTGGGCTCTCTCCAGTGGTTCCTGCTCTCTCTGTTTAGCATTTGAATGAGACCATGGGGGAAGCCTCTAAAGAGCTGCAGCGAACAGCAGGGCTGGAATGCAGACAACCCACCTGTGTCTCCATCAGACACTCTTGGTGATGAAATCCTGTGTCCCAGAGTATCAAAATGGGATGAACAAGAGATGTCAGAGCCACCATGCTGGTCCTGGCTGGGCAGAAGCAGTTGTGGAGGAGCTTGCAGCTGCCCCCTGCAGCGACCGGCCGTTGTGGCAGCAGCTCACTGGGCCTGGAGTTCTGGATTTGGGGTCAGATGTTCTGCAGCTTGTCCAGTGTTCCTGCTCCCCACTGGCCAGGAGCAGCTCTGCCCCTGGCCAGGTGGTGTTCTGCCATGGTCCAGGGCTGTGCACGTGTTCTCAGTGGCCATAGCTCTCTGCACAGCCTCTGCTCACCTCCCCACTTCACCAAGTGGTTTGGAAGACCTGTCACTGTTGTTATTCACCCCTCCCTACATCTACACAGAAATTCTGTCTTATTTTGGCTCTTTTCTAGTGATGTTATGGTATTGTCTGGAACCAGCCCTTCAGGACTGAATAAAGATACATCTTCCCATATGATTTGTTTAGCTTCACCTCATGAGATGTAGCTGCAGTTTCTTAACCTATTCTGCATATGCTGGCTTGGAAGTTTAACTTTTTAAGCGAAGTTCTGCCTTATAGAACCATTTTGGAGGCCCAGTCAGCACAGAGCTCAGCCCCTTTCTTGTCTGGATCGGAGCTCTGCACTTTTTGCAGCAGTTTTAGCAGTGCCTGTTGGGCAGGGCTGCTGTTCCTTGTCAGTGGCCACTCGCCCCCTGCTCTGCAGGCACCTCTGACTAGCCCCTTGTCAGCAGTTTCCTTCCATCTCCAATCCCAGGTCTCGCCTCCTCTTCGCCTCCCGACACGTTCCTGCTGGCTCTGTCTTTGCTAAGTTGGTGGCTTCCTACCTCCCACCCTGCTCACCCCTTCCCCTCACCCCACACCCCCCTTCCCTCTGCAGCTGCCTGCACAGCCCCCTGGGCCAGGACTAGAGAGGGGAGCTGGGACATGCTGGTGGGAGTGGGTCTGCGGGGGCTCCAGGCTCTGCCCGTGCCATGCCAGGGGCTCCAAGCTCTGCCCACACTGTGCCAGGGGCTCCGGGCTCTGCCCACGCTGTGCCAGGGGCTCCAGGCTCTGCCCGTGCCATGCCAGGGGCTCTGGGCTCTGCCCACACTGTGCCAGGGGCTCTCACCTCTTCCCACACTG